CACGACCCGTCCCGTGTCCCGTCAAGGCAAGGTCAATGAACAATGAATAGCAATTAATTTGAAGGGTGTATCTCATCTCCCACATTATGTTGTATTTTGTAATAATGATTCGATTCTATTCAAAATTGGTATATGGAGGTTTTCGGGGTCGGAGATTATGATTCCTTTGTGAAAATTAGGATATTCAAGATGGCTGACGAGTTTTATAATAATTATGATACGATATATTCTATTCAAAATTGGCGTCTGAGGGTTTCGGCGTCGGAGATTATGATTCTTTCATCATTAAAATTTGAAAATTCAAGATGGCGACACCAATATGGCGCACGAGTTTTGTAATTATGATTTGATGCCATTTGAAATTTGTATCTGGGGTTTTTTGGGGTTATAAATCCTTCGTCGAAATTAGGAAATAATTGAAGATGACGGATTCAATATGGCGGACGAGTTATGTGATATGATGATTCGATCCTATTCAAAATTTATATCTGAGAGTGTTCGGGGTCGCAGATTATGACTCCATTTTCAAAATTGGGAAATTCAGGATTGCAGATCCAATATGGCGGACAAGTTTTCTAATTTTTATTATCCGATTCTATTCAAAATTTTCATCTGGTATTTTCGGGGTCGGATATTTTGGATCATTTGTCAAAATTGGGAGATTCAAGCGAACACCATCTCAAAAATTTTCGTTAGTCTATCTCAGTCAGCGAAACCATTTATCTCTCACTTCCTCGCACTAATATATATGGGCCACTCAGGTATAAACGGTTCACAACTTACGGTTTAATTATATTTTACTCATATGAAGTTCGAAATGATAAAACTACTAGAAAAATCCTGTGATATATCTTCAAATTGTTAGAAAAAATATCAATAATCACCAATAATAACATATCGTGGAAAATACTCAATCGTCCTGTATCTGCACTCGAACAAACCCTCGTATCCGTAGATACTTCTTATGTTTTTGGGTAATAAAGTTTGTCGAGGCGATAAAAATTCTGTTTGATTAGTGATGAAACAGTATGTATAGTGTGAGTGTGATTATATATCGTGCCAAAGTTTCCAGAATTCCCAGGTTTCGGTCTTCGACATAACGGTAAGATATTGATTTGCCATCATATATATGCTTTCTATATAAAAAAAATATGTTCATGCTGTTATAAAACTTACAGAGTTATTGCATGAGGAATTTTAAAATGGAATATTTTCCTTGAACACCCTGTTTCTCCAAAACCAACAACATTTTCTATGAGAGATGTGAGGCTAAATCTTAATTAATATTCTGATATTCACTATTTATAGCTCACACATTGATCATTTTGAATGAATCACCCTGTCTATATGTCAAAGAAAATTTTAATATCACGGCATTCATTGAATTTCAAAAATTTTCCCCAAAGAAGATGCATGGTATATATAAGTGTATCTAACTACGATTTTTTGAAATTATGGTGGATACTCGGGTGGATATGTTCTGTTACATTTTTACTAGGTATACCTACCCATTACAAACTATTTTGGGAAAAAGAAACGAAGATCTTATGTTGAATATTGAATGGGTTGAAGATACACCCCCGTGAATAAACGTGAATGAATTCGCCAGGATTTCTGTGCCTTGAATTCGTGTCTTATACCGCGCCTTATTATACCTTCCGCGTTTCTGGATTTTTTCACTCATATCAAAGCATACGCCTGTCCGTTTGTGTTTGCTCTACCTGCTAAACTCGATTTTTTTCTAGGACTTCCTCTGTTCACATCATGCCAAGAACAGAGACAACCAAGGAACAAAAATCAACTCTGGCAAGTTCAGCGATACAAACGAACATACCTATTACCTAATAAAAGTAATAAATAAATAAATCAAGGGGGACAAAGCGATATTTTACCAAACGCTAAACGAATTCGGGCGAATTCTCAATCGTTGGTTCTCGTGCCTTTTTACCGCGCTTTTGCCGACCCCTAGATATATTTTTTCCAGTGTTGCCATGTTAGCGGTTTTGTCGCTGAATCTAGCGTTTTCAGGGCAGGTCAATGCGAGATTTGAACTCGATTTGCGTCGCGTCGGAATTCTAGCGTTCTCCACATTGTCGAATAATGTTGAAACGATTTTTGCCAATAATTCACTGAAACATGAACCGGATGTTCAATAACGTCTCCAAAAGTCTCGAAAAGCGGTTGCTATATTTTTAAAAATTTCGTCTGTGACGGACTTTTCCGTTGCCTCTCTTTTCTGCCCATTTTTATGAATATTTGCGAAATATCATTTGCAGCAGCTTGCAACACTGGTTTTTTCATCAATTCTTGATTTTTTTCTCATTCAAACGACGCTGGTTGTACTATTCGTATTTATTGATAATCGTTTTTTCGTTTTCATAATATTATATGATTGTACAACTGAACGATCTTTGATTTTTGGGATTGTGCTTCGTGTTGATTGTGTGTGAACTGTGATTCATCGAGCATATCGGTGATTTTGAAAAAGTTCATAACTCCTACGATATAGACTAATTAGGAAGTGAACATGACTCGAACCAAAGGACGCTGTAAGAAACGAAATAAACGGGCGAAAAGTATGAAGCTTTCATGGGTATCGGGCAAAAGGTAAGATTTTTAGATATACGAGTTACGTCACATATTACATAGGTAGGTACTTGTACTTGAACCCTAAGTCTGAGTATAGAAAATTGAAAGATTATCAGATATATTGGCTTTACCAAAATGAAATGAGGCTTGAATACCTAGATATAGGTTATTTTTCGTATTTGCATATAGTTCACCAACCGATACAACATTATGAAATATTTTCATTTTGGTAGGTACTTCAGATTCCTCTGGGGACATATTTAGTCGTGTGTTCTTTTATAAAAATCTTGCGAACTGGATGAATAGGATGTTCTCGGATATTCGAGCAAAAAACAACGCCGTATTATATTATATTATGCTGTCGTTTAGTTTCAAGTTCATCTGAAGTTCATAGTTCATGCAATTCAAAGTGGCACGTGGCGGACTGTAGGGAAGACGGGGAATCACCGCGCGAGTATTGATTTTCCCTCCGGTTCGCCGCGGGGGGTGAGAGACATATAACGACCTCTCGCTCAGTTTTGTCACGTTTTGTTTTGTTGCCGTGGAGGTATCCTTTGTGAATATCGAAAATACGGAAGAAAATATTCTTTCTTCATGAGGAGACTATTTTTTCGAACAATCTTACTCAGCTCAGCCGAATATACAGGATATTCCAAAAGTCAGAATCAAAATTTCAGGGGCTGGCTCACTTATTTTCAGGTCAGAAATGACTTTTCCCTATAAACATGTTTCCAAAAACGCTCTACAAGCAGTGTTCTAAGCTTCGATTTTTTTTCATTCATTTTGCAGTTACAGATTGCAGTAAGGGTGGACGACCACGAAAAAACAATGTGACGGTTCAGAAAATAAAAATAAAAAACATTAAAATTAAAAGAAATACTTCTTCAACATTCGAGTAATTATGGCTTGAATGCAAAAAAAAACCTTATGGAAGATTATTATTAATAATAACACACAACTTCAATCAATCATCTGGGTTAATTATATTATATATTATTATATTATACATGTAATATTTCTTTAAATTATAAGTTTTTTAAGTTTATGTATTCTATAATAGTATACCGGGTGACACAGGGTATCGGGCCACCCCTGTAACTTCTGCATTCGTCAACGGATTTTCCTGAAATTCGGTACAGTTATATAAGCAATTATTTCGGATTTGATCACATTACAATCCAATATGGCGGACTTCCAGTTTTTCTGGAACTTTTGTTTTTTCAAATGAAACACCCTATATATTTTTACATATTCAAGTTCAACAGGTCGAAACAAGTGCAATCTTTATTCCAAATGTCATTTTTTCGGAAAAATTTAAATTAAAATTGTTTTTTCATTTTACCTCGTAGATAAATGAAATGTGGTCAAGACTATTCACAATGAGTCACACATAACAGAAGAACATAATTTTTTCTGAAAATTTGTTTCTTGTGTCACTTATCCAGGAATCAATTCAGCCACATCACTTTTCGATCAAAAAATTTTTTTTTTTTCAAATGGAACCCCTATGGGCCACCTACCCGTCTCTCTAGAACATACATCAAGGAACAAAATGACATATCCTTTTCGTTTTTCGGTGCAGTAACAAATTGTATACATTCAAAAATCAACAATTAGTTTATGAATTTCCTTGCAGTTAGAATAATTTTTCAACTAGGTAGGCTGTGGAATAAATGACATTTGACATCAAGATTGCACTTGTTTTGAACTGTTGAACTTGAATATGTGAAAATATACAGGGTGTTCTATTTGAAAAAACAAAATTGCTGGCATTTCCAGAAAAACCGTAAGTCCGCCATATTGGATTGTAATGTGATCAAATCCGAAATAGTTGCTTATATAACTGTACAGAATTCCAGAAAAATCCGTTGACGAATGCAGAAGTTATATATAGGGGTGGCCCGATAACCTGTGTCACCCGGTATAGGTAGAATTCAGCGAGTGGCGATAGCACTCTGATGGCAATAAATTATTTGAAATTGTGAATTTTTCTCTGTTTCTTCTTGTCATATCATAAGAAGCAATATTTGGGAAATAACTGTTTTCACATTTCAGGTGCTCTAGATCTCCTCGTAAGAAAAGCTCATTTATTAATAGAGAATGAAAATAACAATCGTGCTGAGAGGTTAATGAATATAGTTTCTAGGTTCAATCAAGGAAAAAGATTGAATTTAATTCAGAGGGGTTCGTATCAGAGACGAGTACATTTATCTGGACTACGACACAATAAACAATTCAACTGGCATTCTGACCCTTACAAGAATTATATGAGCTCTAGTCCTGGTAAACATTTCAAAAAATTCATTGCTAGGAATTGTCGGTCCCAGGAGTTGAAATGCCGTAGGAGATTACTTTCAACTGTTTCAAAGAACGATAATGATCATAGTAAAAGAAAGAAAACATCCTCAAGCATGAAACAGAGAGATGTGAATATCGACTATGGACCTCACGCTGATCAGCAGATGATTGACCAATCATTGTTGGCCGAAGAAGTAGATGTGATTCTGAGAAGATTACAGGTAATATTCGAATTGATTATTACTCACTTCTGAAAATGTCTTACTCAATATATCAGACTCATGTTTATCACCTCTCAGTTTGAATCACGTTCGTTTGGATCTATATAACTCATATCTCATTTAAGGTGTCTGAAGCAGAACGGGATCGAATCCAAACTGAATCAGTAGGACAGTTTGGCAATGCGATATTCGAAACTGAACGAAAACTGAGGCTGACAGCATCAATGTTTGGTAAGGTGATCAAGCGAAGACCATACACGTCGTGCCATAATATGGTGAAGGAATGTTTGAAACCTAGTTCCTTTTGGTCAGAGGCGACTGACTATGGCATAGCTAAGGAGAAAGTTGCCATTGGTATATTTGAGAGGATAAAGAGTCTGCATGTCCAGGATTCTGGTTTTTGGATCGATCTTCAATATGGATTCTTGGGTGCTTCTCCTGATGGTACACCTCAGTATAACATAATCTGTTTCTTATTCATTATAATTCTTACATCAATTCTAGGAATCGTTTTGAGTGAAGATTCGATGATAGAAGTCAAATGTATTTATTCAGCTAGTAAATTAGAACTGAAAAAACACACATTGGATGAAGTAATAGACATTATGAAAAGTAAAATATGCTTGGAAAGACATGATGATCAAATAAGATTGAAACGAACTCACAACTATTACTATCAAGTAAGTTTGAAATTAAATTTCTTGCTTATTATCAATATTCAATATCTAGAAATATCAAGTTCACTGAACACTATATTTTACGAAATTTTTTATTTATATTCCAGATTCAAGGACAACTGAACATTGCGCGAAAATCGAAATGTTACTTCATCGTTTATATCAACGATGCTATTGATTTATTCGTGGAGGAGATAGAGAGGGATGCCAAACTTTGGGAAGAAAAAATGTGTCCACTTTTAGTACAGTTTTACAAGGAATGTATCTGCCCAGAAATTATTATGGATAATATAGGAAAAGGTAGAAGATGCAATGATCCGCCATTCATTTCAGAAGCGATAACTCTGCAAGAAGAGAAGAAAAGGAAAATATCGAAGGTCATCAATCCCGTGATTGTAAACTCTGCTGACAAAGAAAGTATTCAAATATTGAGACATGTGGTAGTTCCCTTTGAATTAACATCTGTTTTTCAAAAAATTGCTGAGAACAATACATCTGAAAATATTGAATGCTGTGGAATTTTGGCAGGGCGATTAGAGAATAATAAACTCAAAATATCCCATATGATCGTACCAAAGCAGACAGGCACTTCTGACTCATGTACGGCATCCCATGAAGAAGAAATACTCCTGTATCAAGAGCAACATGATTTGATAACCATTGGATGGATACATACTCATCCCACACAAACTGCATTCCTCTCCAGTGTGGACCTTCATACCCATTGCTCCTATCAACTATTGATACCAGAAGCCATTGCGATTGTTTGTGCACCAAAATATAAACAAATTGAATATTTCAATCTCACCCCAACGAACGGCATGACAGTCATCAGTAAATGTAAAAAATCTGGTTTCCATCCCCATCCAAGTGAACCACCACTTTTCAAATCAGCAGACCACGTTAGAATAGAGAATGATGCAACTCTGGAAGTTATTGACCTTCGAATGCTCGAGTGATTGATTCGTTATAGTTCTGTCCTAGAATAAACAAAAGGAGACAACATTTTCCCTACGAAAATGATAACTCTCAATAACCTAGTAATTCTCTCCAATATGAGAAGACATTGAGTGAGTAAGTATTCTAATTCAATTTTAATTCAGATTTCAGAATGAAAGTAAATTCTGATACTCTTTAGGCGGCCCCAATATCAGGAAAGTTCAACTCCTAGCATATATGACACTCATAATTCATCGAATTCAATGCAGGATCATAGGCTCACTGTTAGAGGACATTGAGTGAGTATTGAGTATTCAATCACAATCTGTATTTCACATGACAGCAAGTTTCGATATTTTTTCATAGCCAAAATCTGATGACCTGTCAGAACATTGTTCTGTATGATCTCCGAAGCCAAAATAACCTCTGAGGCGTTTGATGAAGTTGTTTCGAACAACTGTGCCAAAGAAATATAGGAATGGACCTGACAAATTTCTCAAAACGAGTACACACAGAGCAGATAAAATGTTTCAGAATGAGAATCATAACTATCAGTATTCTATGAGAACACATTGAGTAAGTATTCTATAACAGTTTCAATCAAGAATAAAAATAACGTCTGATTCTTTTGGAGGCCAAATTTCCAGGAAAGTTCAACTCCTATCATGTGACAATTCCTCACTCATGATTCATGGAGATTGAGTGAGTATTATGAGTATTCAATCACAATCTGAATTTAGCAAGTTTCGTTTTTTTTTACAGCCAAAATCTGATGACCTTTGAGAACATTGTTTTGTATGAACTTGAAAAAATATTACTTGAGGCGCTTTTCTAAAGTTGTTCTGTACAACTGATGTGCCAAAGAAATTGGATGTACCCTACAAATTTTCATTAATTAGTAAACAGAGGTGATACAATTTTTCAGTATGAAAATTATAACTCTAATATTGTTTCAATACAAAATTAAGATAACTTCTGGTACTTTTTAAGGGACAAATTTCACAGAAGCTCAACTTCAAACATGTGATAATTCATCACCTATGATACAACGAATCAATACAGGGATCACAATATGCCCACTGTTAGGAGAGATTGATATTTACCACAATATTCATTTCACTCAACAAGGTTTGATACTTCTCTTAGCCAAGATCTGATGACTTTTGAGACCCTTGTTTTGTATGAATGGTGAAGCAATATAACAAGAGACCTATAAAGTTGGTTGATGGAGATTAGAACTGACAATTCATCACAACTTACCGAAGTATTGATCGAATGAGTGGACTTCTTTTACCACCGCTCACATAAAGGGCTTTCAGCATGAAATTGAATAAATTATGAAGAATTTCAACTATGAGCAGCTGCAGAGATGAATAATTTGTATCCTTTTTGTTTGAATTTCAGAAGATAACTATAAGAAGACATTATTTGATTAAAGGAAGCAAGACAAGTAACTCAAATATGTATACCTATGTGCCAACTCCTAGGTAGACAACATGACCGATCAATCATGAGATTGATAATATAAAGACTTTATGAATTCAGTTCATTCGAACCAAGAGAATATTGGTTATTCCAAACGAATACAACTTTTGTGAGGACCGTTTCCCTGGAACGGGGGTGGTAAATGGCGGTTATGGCTGCTTTTAGTCACATATTTTGACTAGAAGTGTCCTGTACCGGGGCCTCACGCCGTATCTATGGATCCAAGATCTGATAACCCTACTTTGAGAATAATGTTTTTTTATGAGTTATATATAGTTATCAACTCAAAGATGGTTTGGGAATGCCGTGAAAAAATTAACGAGCTAGCCAACAGGAATACAGTCACTCTTTTATGGGTTCCTGGCTTTTATGGGTTCCTGGACATTCCGGAGTACAAGGAGATGCAGTAGCGGACAAACTTGGCTAGGAAAGTAGCTCAAACACTCTTCGTGGAACCAAAAACCTTCAAACGGAGATCAGACATCTGGTAAAATCTTCAAGGTCTCAGACAGGCTAAGGTACTACTGGGTACATAAAACCACAAAAGATCGAACGTATATGTCTGCCTAAGTAAAAATAAACTTCGATAACTAACGGAAGTCCTAACAACAGACCACTGCCGGTTGAGAAGGTATCTCAGGAAGCTCGGCTCAGAAGAGGAAGACGAATGCAGGGTCTGTGGGAAGAGGAGGAAACCTTAATCCACATACTTTTACGAAATGTAAAGAATCCACTGGCAAGAAACCTATATATAGGAGCACACATGGTAGAGGAGGAGGAGCTCCTCTAGCTGGAACAAACCCATATCCTGAAATTTCTGAGGGATATCTGACTAGACAAATTGCTATAGCTACGGAGAATAACCTCATCGTCTGTAGCAAGAGATGGTTCCACAATATTCTGACAATCTGACAAGATTGGTCTCTTGCATGGAATTGAATAAATATTGCTAAATTTGTATGTTTGAATTTTCAGGTCTATATAATTATTTTTCAGTGACTTATTCTGGGCCGTTTGAACAGTTATATAGGAATAGTAGAAGATTACCATTAGGAGTTATTATTTGATAAAAGAAAGCAATGCAAGCTACGAATATATAACTATAGGTTCCAACTCCAAGATAGATATGTCCGTTCCATCATGGATGATCATATGACTATGAATTCGGCTTATTCGAATCAGAGGATATTGGTTATTCCAAACCGAGACAATTTTAGTGAGGACCGTTTCGCTGGAACGGGGGTGGTGGATGGCGGTTATGGCTGCCTTTAGTCACATATTTTGACTAGAGGTGTCCTGTACCGGGGCCTCACGCCACATCTATGGATCCAAAATCTGAAAACTTTACTTTGGGACGAATGTTTTTGCGTTTAGAGTGAAATAATCTGAGACTTTTGAAGTTTGTTCCTCAATCCTCAAATTATTGGAGTAAAAGCGTACCTTCCTATTTCCATCTATGCTGACATAATTATCAATCTCATGAATAGAATTGAATAAATTCTGCTGAATTTGTATGTTTGAATTTTCAGGTCTACTTATATAATTATTTTTCAGTGACTAATTCTAGGCCGTTTGAACAGGTAAAAACAGGAATGGTAGAAGATTACCATTAGAAGATATTATTTGATAAAAATAAGCAATGCAAACAACAAATACCTATATACCTAGATTCCGAATCCAAGATAGACATTTCCGGTCCATCATGAGCTTGATAACATGACTATGAATGGAGTTTTTTGAACGAAGAGTATATTGGTTATTTCGAACGGATATTTTAGTGAGGACCGTTTCGCTGGAACGGGGGTGGTGGATGGCGGTTATGGCTGCCTTTAGTCACATATTTTGACTAGAGGTGTCCTGTACCGGGGCCTCACGCCACATCTATGGATCCAAAATCTGATAACCCTATACTCTGAGACCGATGAATTTGTATTGGTTTTAGAGTAAAATAAGCTGAGATGTTCGAAGTTGGTTCCACAACTGTGCCAAAAAAAACAAGAATATATAAGATTATTGACAACTCTTCTCGAATTATTGGAGTATCAATAAGATTGAGTGGTCTTTTCTATTTTCAAGACTGTTGATATGATTGTTCTCATGAATTGAATTGTATAAATTATGAATGGATTTGTCTATTTTAGTTTTCAGGAATACTTTTATATGATTATTTTTCAGTACTGATTTTGGGCCGTTTGAACAGTTATATAATCAGAAATGGTAGATGACTATAATTTATTCCATGAAAGGAAGCAATTCAATTAGCAGATATGCCTGCCAACTCTCAGATAGACATCTCCGATCTATCATGACTATGAATTCCATTTTTTTTACACTGAATGTCATTCATATATCTCAAAAAATAAAAATGCTTATTTATTTTGATCACGATTTTTTTCAATTTTATAAGACCATTGAAATTAAAACGGTATATAGGTTCGATCTTGTCAAAAAAGAACAATAAAGGTCAATTAAAATAATATACGATGTTTCAATTTCAAAACCATTCCTGGGTGACTAAATTGTTATTCAAGGCAAAGAATCATAGCTTATTGTAGTAAATAAGAATAATTATAAGTTATCTAAGCTAAATATAATATGGAACGTAAACCTACAAGCTTCCAATCTAAATGAGAGTATATTCACTCGAAGTTTATAATAACATGTTCAGGGTGTTATTCAGGTTAATGGCGAATCGATGTTTAAAAAAAATATATATGAATATAGGTCTGGTAATGATTCTTTTTCAATAGAAAGATATAGTGTCCAACAATGAAAAAAAATAGTGTTTCAATAAACCTTGAGCCGATTTTGTTGAAAGACTAGGTTAAAATTATAAAATCCAGTGACATCCCTGAAATCACCACTATATTTTCGTCAAAAATGTGCGCCACTATTTTTTTTGCAATTTTGCATTTTTTTCAAAACGGTAAGTATAATTATTATATTTCTACAGCTTTTTATTTTCGAAATATATATCTGCTTCGTCAAAAATCACTATTATTTATGACATATTCATGAGAAAACATAAAAATTCAAAACTACCGAACCATCAAAAACTGGGGTATACCTGTTATTCTTCTCCATATCAAGTCTCTCCTAATTTGTCATGGGAATTGATGAGAGTAATAAAATAAATTGGGTTTCATTTGATTGAAAAGGTTTTAATTATTTTTTCAATATATGTTTGACACAACCCTGTGTATCATTGAATGGTATTGAAAACAAAGCATTAAACCTATACATATTCATAAAATGATTTTTTCGTCTTACAAACACTGGGAGAACCAGAACTTGAAATATGCCCAGATAATTGAATATTATTATTAGGTCGCCTAGATTTTATAATATGTCCGAGTAATGTGTGTAACATTGGCAACGGTGTAAACGGGTTTGAATTCATCATCTCTCCTAAGTGCCATCTGCTGGCAATACAATACACCATACCTCTCTGCCGCTGTCTGTCATTTCGAACAGTGCCATCTATCAGGTAGTGCCTGAACTACCATATCCTAGTTTCCTACATTATATTATTTCA